AGATTTAAAAAGATCTATTTGCTGGTCTTATTAGTTTGATTTTGGGTTTTCAAAATGGAGAGCATTTAAAAAACTTGTAAATATGTATTTAATTTGAAATATAATTTTTTTTAAATACGGTAATTTTAAAATATATTAATTTTAAATTACTACTTACACAGTTTTTGTCTGCCGATTGCGGATGATCAGAGACACACACACCCTGTATATATCTATAAGAATTTGGTGTAAGTTACCGTTTTCAGAAAATCTCACTTTTTACATTTACAACCAGATGGTTGTATCTCACTTTGGATCTTTCAATCCATCAGTGGCTGGCTGTGTGTGGAGCGAGGGACGTGTTAAAGTTATTGAAGAACATTATATCGCTGATGAAGACTCAAAAGTGAATCGAAACGTTCGAGTTCCGAGTGTAACAACTGCTTAAGTATTGAAATTACATTTTAAGATTAATCAGTGCTCTGTTTATCACGTTTCACTCTCAGCTGCCGAAATTTCTCGAAATTCATTACGAATTATTTTCAAACCTGCATCTAGCTAACGTTTCACTTTAGCGAAATCATTCTTTGTAATGTTCTGTATAATCACAAAAATTACATTTTAAGATATAATAAAATTGTAACGATTGAAATATTTAAAACGTTCAGATACATTTTCTGGAAAACTGAACGTTTTTTTTTCCGTTGTAACAAATGAGTGATATGATTCGACAAGCTAACGGTGCTTGTCATGCGCTTCAGTTTGCTGTTCTGATTTATTTACGGTTATTTACTCGCTTTATCTGCTCGCAGCCGCTCATTTCCAATCTCTGCCGCCAAGAATGATCGGATATTGATACTTCGATATTAGCAATCGAGCGCGAGCGTGGGATATCGATATTTTAAAGCGTCCCCAGTCACGTCCGCCTGTTAAATTCGCGAAAGTTTGCAGAGCGCGTCGGTGATTAGAGAGATTAAAGGGAAACATTTTATCGTAAACGATTCGAGAGAATTTAATTCGCTTGAAAGCTTTCGGGGTGAGCGAGCGTTTGCAAAGTTGCATCGGCGAAATTCGCGAACGGGCGAATTCGCGACCGAAGGAGAGAGAGAAAGAGAGAGAATGAGGTGGAAAGCAGCGTTTTCGATAGGCCGCGTTGAATTTTGCGGCGCTTTCATCGTTTAATCGAATCTTCTGCTACGTATTGAGATCGCGGATCGAACACGCGCCGCATCGATCGGCGTGATTTAACAAATCGAACGAGCGAGCGCACCGCCGTTACTCGCAACATTTCGTTCATCGAATCACGTTATCGTTTGATTACACATTTCGAATGGATTGATAATTTCGGCGGCGGAGAACCGTCCCGCTCTCTGCATGCGTGAGTGTTGCGAGAACTTTTTTTTATTCGTTCCCGATTTTTTTTTTTTTTTTTTTTTTTTTTTCAAATATATCTAGCGAAATTTAATTAAAAATGACGCGTTCCTTGATTACGTAGAGTCCGAAGATATTCCCTCTTCCTCCTCCTCCACTCTTTCTTTCTCCATCGATACTGATTTAATGTAAAAACGTGAAAAATAACGGGGCAACAAACTGACAAATTACTCGGGCCGTCGGGATTATTGATAAATTTGAAACAGCCCGAACGGGGGCGGACTTTGTTGAATTCGGAGTCGCGCTCGGATTAATTTATGAAACGTCAATTTATTAATTAAGCACGCCCGGCCGGGCACGGTGAGAGTCGAGCAGCCGCTTTATTATTAATCGGTCTATTATGTTACATACGCCCGCGGAGGCGCGGCAATTGATATTTCGTTTGCAGTCGTCGGTTCACTCTTTCGTATTTCGCACGTGACACTCTCACAATCGCCGCTCGTTCTCGTCGCCGTGACGTCAACCGTCCGGTGCAATTGCAATTATTTGCGGCCTTTTACCTTTACGTTTCTGTGTACCTTGTTAAAATACATCCCCCCCCCTCCCCCTCCCTCGAATTCGTTCGGAGCGTCGCAAATTACGCGTGAAACGCGCGCGCCAATTTTTCTTAATATATCATAAGTTCGGTGATACCCCCTTTTTTTTTCTCACTCCCAATTTTTCGGACACACCGTTGAGTGGAGATCCGTCTGTTTCTGTCAGCGACACGCGCGTTGAGTAATGCGTTATCGAATCGTCAGTCGCACTTGCGATCATTTAGAAAAATGTTCCTGTTTTCCCTCCCGTTGAAATTTTCACGCTACATTGACATTCCCAAGGATAGTTCGAACATAATTAAATACTCTATAAATTAGGGAAATAATTACATTACCGACTCTGTTTTCAATCTCTAATTCTATACATTTTTAATTTTCACTTTCCTACTACAATTTCAAGCACATAACTCCCAAGAGAAGTGATATGAGTTAGATTACAATCTTAGTTTGATATTAATTAATACAAGTTAGAGACTTTTTTCCGTTATTACGATATATTTCTTTATAATTTGTACTTTTAACATTGAGAATGAACTTAGTGATGGTCGAAATATTTGTTTTTCATGTATATTGTAAGGTATTTTTGGTAGCAATTGATAACTTGCTTTTGCTTTTAGCTCTTTTCCATTATACAAATTTGATTTGATTCAATTGAGCGTCGTTTTACGATTTTTTTAATTTTAACGTTACCTTCAACCTATGAATGTTCCCAAAATTCTGACGCTACTTTGACACTTATCGTTAGCTGTTCCACAGTTAGAAAAAAATTCTACATAGAAAAAACAATTTTTAAGTATCTAAAACTTTAATTAGATATAAAAATTGTGTTGGATCGTGAAAATAATCATGTAGAACGTTTAAATGTTGATGACAATGCTGGAAAAACATTTCAACACGCTTGCAGCCAGTTTAAATGTTTTACGTAATTATTTCGATGGATTCCAAACAATTATTTTCAGATTTGTATCTGAATTTCTAGCTGAATTTTCAGATAATTCAGCAAAATCGTTCCGATGTGTACCTAAATATTATCCTTGGTGATTTTTCTTCATATGGATTTACTTAGGAAGGAAATTTAAATGGAAATTTATCGATGCTCTCGTAATTATATTTTTATGTATGTAATTAACGGGAAAGATTCAATATAATATTCGTTCCTGGATCATCGATCCGTGAACAACTTTAACGCGCGGTTTGCAGATCCACGTCGAGAGATAAAAGCGGCAAAGTTATGCGGCTGGCTCTCCTGTAACCGCTCGCGCATACCGGGTGTCCTTGCGGAATGAAAGTACTTGGGAAACGTGACCTCTCCCGTATTCCATGTATGAGTAATGCCTATACCTATGCCTAGCCTGTGCTTAGCCTAAGCGACGTGTTTCGAGATTCCAGCCGACTGGTCACAATCGAACGAGGAATGCGCTTTTCTATCAGCGATCATTATCATAAAAACATACTGACAGATAAATAGATAGGTGGATATGCGTTAGTGAAATGCCACTGGAGTCAAAGACCTGCGAGAGAATTCGCGGATTTGCCTATTTTAAAATTCGTAATCCTAGAAAGTCATGGATCCATACATTATATCTCATTCAAAGAAAAAGATATACTAACTGTAAAAGTGACAATTGCAGGTTTCACATGTACATTAGTCTATTTAACTATACGCATTAATTTTACATATATTTATATAATTGTCATCTTTTATATACAGTTGCCGTTACTTAATGTTTTTTCTGGATGCAAATGTTAATCTAAGGCGATAGCAGTTCGAATATTATTGTAGTTATTAACATTATTATTTTACAATGACTTTTTATTTATTTTTTGTTTACTCATTTTAATACGACTGTAAGAGAAACTTTTAACATCCGTTTCGAATGTAGTTTAACTTTAATCTCGGTTCAACTAATTCTTTGTCTTTTTCTAATTTCAATATAAGAATTAGACAAAGATGAAGAAGTCGAATGAGAGATTGAAGTTAATCCACATTGGTGGAAATAAACGAGCATATATATATATA